AGCTCTAGAGTTATTGATTTTTCAGCTTGGTCAACTTTTATTAGGATGGAGTGACAATTTTCAAGCTCCTTACATGGCAGACTGGGAATTGGAAGTCCTATTATTTTTTTACATGCATTTAACTTTAAACAAGTTACCATAACACCTCACTGCCTCCAAAATAAGTTTCTATCTCAGCACGGAGTTCTTTTTGCAGGGACTGACCCACCCACCACTCCATCAACCTTATCACGTGTTATGCTTTTCTAAGAAGATAGCATGGGACCTACAAAGAGTAAAAACCTGTCAAGATTTTGGAGAATGCTCTATCCATTCCAGCCTTGCAGCCTCAAGCATGCAAAGATCAGCCACACATGTTTGTTCTGTTGTATGATTCCCTACATGTAGAAATGGAAAAGGAAGAGAACGTGACATGAGAAAAACCAAAGCACATAGCAGTATTATATGCTCCTCAATGAAGCCGAGTGTAAGTGCGTGTGTGCATGAATGTGCCTGCATGTGTAGCTCATAGGTGTGCATGTGCATTTGTGCACCTATGTGTGTGCATGCAGGTGGGTGAGCATGTGTGTGTATATGTGAGTGTGTCTGTATCTTCTTACTCTCAGTGCTTCAGACATAACACTGATTAAAGTCCACAGTGAGTGGGCTGAGTCTGTGGGGTTCTCTGCAAAACAGAGAAAAAAAAACCATTCTCAACGAGAGAGGGATGCATGTGAGCTCCCCAAGAACATGCTGGTCCTGGGGCAGGGTGGTAACCTCCAGGGTTCTTGACAACAACAGACCAGGGAAGCCAGTAAAGGATCTGTCAGTGACCTCCAGGGCCTGCGGGCAGTGCCTCTGACAGGTCGTGCTCTCTGGTCACTGGGAAGATGGACCCTTGAGGAGGTTATAGCCCTCCTCTAGGCTCAGCTCTGCCTCGGGGAGTGTCTCACAAGGTCAAACCACCCTCATGGGATAGAATATGAGATCTCCAAGCCAATTTCCAAGACCCCCGGGCTCTCCTTTTCTCAGGTACATCCAGTCCCAAGAGGGGTGAGGGGAAGCAACAGACTCAGTATTCTGGCCTGGGAGTCACATGGCCTCTAGGGAGCTCACCAGAGCAGAGCAATTTAGCTAAAGTCAACTTCCCATTCCCTTCAGGATCAGTTTGCCTATTGAGAAATGTCTCTGGGAAACGTATTTACCAAGTGGAATGGGTATAGCTATACATAGTATATAATGGATATATACTATGGGTATAACTCTTCTAAAGATTTTCAAACGCTTCGGTACCTCTTTCTGCTGGATATAATTTCACGGAGTACACAAATATATTTTGAACTAGTTTTCACTTGTTTTTCTACTTATACTAAGCACTTATCCAACTTTGAGTATAATATATGCAAGTTATCAACTTAATGAACTTTTGTTGAGTGGTCTAGCCTCTTTTTGGATTAAAAAACTTATTTTCTGGACCAGGTATAGTGGCTCATATCTGTATCCCAGCACCTTGGGAGGCTGAAGCAGGAGGATCACTTGTGCTCAGGAATTTGAGGCCAACCTGGGCAACATAGGGACAACATGCCTGTAGTCCCAGCTACTCAGGAGTATGGGGTGGGAGGATCACCTGAACTCGGAAAGTCAATTCTGCAGTGAACTGTGATTGTGCCACTGCACACCAGCCTGGGCAACACAGCAATACTCTGCTGCAAAAATATATATTATTTTCTGTATGGCATGGTTACATTAAACTAAATGAATAAAATGAGGAAAGAAATACATCAATTCATTTATATTTCTACTATAGTACTCATGACACCTAAATCACAGTGCTATTGCTGTGGAGTCCCTCACTTGCATTTTTTATTTTATTGCATTGCATTGCATTGCATTTTAGGTTTTGGGGTACATGTGAAGAACATGCAAGATTGTTGCATAGGTACACACGTGGCAGTGTGATTTGCTGCCTTCCTCCCCATCACCTATATCTGGCGTTTCTCCCCATGCTCTCTCTCCCCAACTCCCCAACCCCTGCTGTCCCTCCCCTACTTCCCTCCAAAAGACCCCAGTGTGTGATGCTCTCCTCCCTCTGTCCATGTGTTCTCATTGTTCAACACCCGCCTATGAGTGAGAACATGTGGTGTTTGATTTTCTGCTCTTGTGTCAGTTTGCTGAGAATGATGCAGGTTCATCCATGTCCCTACAAAGGACGCGAATTCATCGTTTTTGATGGCTGCCTAATATTCCATGGTGGATATGTGCCACATTTTCCCTGTCCAGTCTATCATCAATGGGCATTTGGGTTGGTTCCAGGTCTTTGCTATTGTAAACAGTGCTGCAATGAACATTCGTGTGCATGTGTCCTTATAGTAGAGCGATTTATAATCCTTTGGATATATACCC